CACATATGAGTGAGGACATGTGGTTATTTATCCCTCTGTGCTTTGCTTATTTCACTCAACATAAGCTTTTTCAAGCTCATTCATGTTGATGCAAATGGGAGAATTTCGTTCTTTTTTATGTCAGAGTAGTATTCCATGGTGTATATATACCACAGTTTCCTTATCCAGTGCTCCAGGTAGGCTGTAATTCTCTTCTCACCTCTCTCTCCAGTTTCAGAAAGTCAGTTTGTCCTGTGACTTCCCTTCTCTGAATGATCTAAGAGTTGTTGACTTTCAGTTTATTTAGTTTCTTTCTTGTTGTGAGGATGAAAATGATAACATCCAAGTTCGTTACCTCTTGGAGTTGAAACCAACCTCTATTTTTTAAAAAGTAAGTTAATATATAAATGTTTGTTGAATTGAACATACTTGCCATTCTGGCACCTTAAGCATTCAATGACTCTTCCACCAACACAGCAACAACCAAGAGATACAGGTAATCAGACCATGGGGTGGAGACAGAAAATCAGAAGAAACCAAAATGTTACCAGAACTGAAGCTACCATGGGTCTGCTGTGTTGCCGCTCCTCTCCTCTCCTCTCCTTTCCTATTCATACTCTCTCCCATGCCTCTTCTGCATCTGGTTCCTCTTATTCTTGCCCAGCAATGTCCTAGGATCCTTCCTTATTAAACCATTTCTATTGAAAGATACATACCTAAATGCCTTTTTATGGCGTTTTAAACTTTTTTTTAAAAAGGTTTTCAGAAATAAAAATGTATAGATAGATATATAAAGAAATAGAAATTGATATAGAGATATGCCTGTATATGCCTATACTATTTCTGGGAATAGTCACATTTAAGAGGAAGAACAGTCTACGTCCCTACCACCCTGAACGCGCCTGATCTCATCTGATCTCAGAAGAGGAAGAACATAAGCACAAGAGAACTGAAGTGAGAGAGAGGTTTATTTTTACTGTATGCTTTTTTGTACTGTTTCATATTTTACCGTGTGTATGTATCCTCAAGAAAAAGAAATATTACTTTTAAAATGGAAGTTGTAAATCACCCACCCATAATCTGATCATTGCTATCTACAAAACAAACAAAAAAAGCTACAGCAAACATCATATTTAATAGTGAAAACCTGAGTGCTTTTACCCTAAGGTCAGAAAAATGGCAGGGATATCCATTACTCTCATCTCTATTCATCATCATATTGGAGATACAAAGGTCAGAAAAATGGCAGGGATATCCATTACTCTCACCTCTATTCATCATCATATTGGAGGTCTCGGTGCTGTGAGTAAAATAAAAGAAATAAAAGGTATAAAGATCATTAAGGCAAAATCAAACCTGTATTTGTAGATGACATGACTATGTATGTATATAGAAATACAAAAAAAAAAAGAAGAAAGAAAAGATTTCCTATTTCTTCTTCTATCAATTTCAGTAATGATTAGAATTAAGTGAAATTAGCAAGGTTTCTAGATACAAAGTCAATTTATAAAAATAAACTGTATTTCTACATACCAGTAATAAACTAATGAAAACTAAATTTTAAAAATTCACTTAAAATAGATAAATGATATCAAATTCCTAGGAATAAATGTAATTTCACCTCAAAACCAGTCAAGATTGTCTTCTCATCACTTTTGTTTATCATTGTATTGGTAAATACAGCACTTTGACTTCAAGCCACCTTCTCTCCAACTAGTTGCACAAAAATATTGTCACTTGACTTTCCAATAGACCTATACAAATGCAGCCAATACAGTTTAGAGAGGAGAAATAGTCTTTTCAATAAGTGATGCTGGGGCCAGCCCAGTGGCGCACTGGATAGTGCGCCGCTTGGGAAGCGCGGCGGCGCTCCCGTCCGAGGGTTCGGATCCCATATACAGACCGGTTCCCGCTCACTGGCTGAGCGAGGCGCGGGAGCAACACCGAGGCTTGCGATCCCATTGCCGGTCCCCGGTCCGGTATGGGGGCGACACTGAGGGTTGCGATCCGTTGCCGGACACGGAAAAAAAGACAAAAAGACAAAAAAAAAAAAAAATAAGTGATGCTGAAGCAAATTAATAGCTTCATGAAAGAAATAAAACTTACTACCTCACACTATACTTGATAACTGATTTGAAATTGATCAAAAATCTAAATATTAAAGGAAAAACCGTAAGGCTTTTGAAAGAAAACATGCGGTATCTTTGTGACTTAGTGGTAGGAGAAGATTAAACAGGACAAAGCACATTAGTAAAAGAAGAAGTTGATAAATTGAACTTTATTAAAATTAAAACATCTGTTACCAAAAGACCTCATTAAGAATAGTCATGTAAATGAAGAAGCCACAGACTGAGAAAAGATAACTGCAGTGTATACATCTGAAAAAGAGCTCATATCCAAAAATATACTTTTTAAAAATGCAAATCAATAAGAAAATAGCCACTTCACAAAAGATAATACCCAAATAGCTAATGAACATATAAGAAGTGTCTAACATTATTATTTATCAGGAAAACGCAAAAAAAAAAAAAAAAAAAACCACGAAAGTGATATTGCAGTACACATCCAACAGACTGGTAAGAATAAAAAAATACTGAAAATAACAAATGTTCATAAATATGAGTATCCTTATCTGGAAATTACTGATGGGAATGCAAATCAGTTCCCATCTTTTGGAGGACAGTTTGGTAGTATTTAAGAAGCCTAAACATATGCCTACACTGTGACCCAGTAAGTCTACATCTCGGTATATACCTACGAGAGATAAGTGTATATTTCAAACAAAATACATGTTCAAGAATGTTTGTAGAAGCTTTATTAATAATATGCAGAAACTGCAAACAAGCCAAGTGTTCACTAAGAGACTAATTAAGTAAATTGCTCTACATTTGTGCAATGGAATACTAAACAGCAATAACCAAGAGCAAAGTCATGGATGAGCTCACGCAACATTCTATATTGAGTGAGAGAAGCCAAGCATGAAAAAGTAAACGCACTATTTGACATTTACATGAAGCTCAAGAATGAGCCCTCTGTGATGATAAAAGTAAGAATAGTGGATATTTTCAGGAAGAGAGTGGGGAGTAGCATTTACTGGGAAAGAACAGGCAGGAATATTCTGAAATGATGAAAATCTTCTATAGCTTGGTCTGGGTGATTTATATATGTGTGTATCGCGGGAGACCCAGATCTGAAAGGGCACTCACGTAGTGTCTGCCTATTCCAAAGAGCACACACAGGCCAATAGGTAGAGACACTGGTTTATTAGACTTACAGGAGGTGCTGGTGGTGGCTGGTCAGCTAGAAATCCTTCTGGCCCTGGGGTACATACAACAATTTTATAGTGAACAGATCAAAGGAGAGGTGTAAATCATTCACATACTTATGTTTAGATCCTCACCCAACTCAGAGGGTGTAGGAGATCTAGCTGAATAGGTAAGTTAACTTACTGGTTACCCTTTTCGCTCCAGAGTAGTTAACACTAGTGTTCTAACTCCATTTATATGCTAATTAATTGACTCTGGGCACCTGCTTCCTATGATTCTCCTTTTGTCTTAAAGCAAACATACCTTTCCTTTAGTAAACTACCTTGGCCAGGGGTGATTTCCCACAGGGGAGGGGGAACTCTGGTATGCATGGGGAGGGGGAAATGGGTCTATGTCCAGCATTTACCTTACAGTGTGATAAAAACTCATAAAGCACTAATTTTATGCACTCTGTATAAACTTATACTTCAGTTTAAAAGGGCATAGGGTGTTTTTTCACTTAATCACACTGTACTGATTCTCCACCACCTGTATGATACCCTCAACCCATAAGGGTTCTAAATTCAGTGACCTTACCACACAATCCTCCCCTACACTTTCATTCTTTTTATTATAGCCTGATTAAACAAAACTATTTCATAGAAAAAAACTAAGCATTTATCCAAACTTTCCTCTTTTCTAATAGAAGAGAACTTTCCTAAGAAAAGTTCATGTTAAAATATCTTCCAAACAGTTCACATGCCATAGCTTCTAAAAGAACTGTTACCACTAATAATGCGCTCAGATCAAAAATTTCGTCTTCTGATTTTTAATATAAAGCTGTACTTCCATTTATTCAATGCTGTGATATGTAACACGACCTGAGACCATGTCCTTTATGCCCTGCTATTAGAAGATCACAGACAGGAATACATGCAGTGCCTTAAAATATGATGGTAATTGCCTCCCCTAATAACTGGTTGGTTGCTATGGTTCTAAAGGCTCACCTACATTCAAAGCTATCTGTTACTAATTTACATTATTAAGAGCCTTGAAGTGAGGCTCACAGTTCTATCTTCATTAGACTGAAGTGTGTATCCAACAGCTCTCACTCCCTTCAATCTGCATCTCTCTCCCTTAGAAGGTCTGATATTAGCCTTGGTCGTTAAGGCTCTACACCATTTCGATGGGCACTATGCTTGATTCTATATGGAACCTAATCTAGTTTCCACTCACACGTCCTAAAATTCTTAAAACACTTCTTTTATCTTTCTATCAAAAGCAAGTCAACCAAATTTTTACCTCCAACACACTCGCAAAGATTGTATTTCAAAAATTAACCCTTAAAAATTTGCGTGACATCGCTGTGAATAGATTTCTTTAAATGAAAAAAAGAAGAAGAAAACACCTTCGAAATAAATTCTGCCAGGAAAAAGATGAAACAAGAAAACATAGTTAAATAAAAACACAGTAGAGTGGATCAAAATTCAAGGGCCTGGATTCCTCCCAGCTCTGGCATTAGGTACACGTGTGTCCATGGTAACTTACAAATTTTTATGAGTCCTCAGTGTGTAATGGGTTGTACAAGGAACCTAGATCAAATAATTTCTTAGGACTATGAATAGTTGAGGTGTGTAAGCAGTGAAGAGAATGTGTGTTTAGGAACAACAGTTAAAATTTTCCTCTAAGTATAGCGGAGAAAGTGCTAGCATTTGTTTCCCTCACGGAAAAAAACTAAAAGAAAAGAAATACTCTGATCTCCTTTCTCGGTCATTTTCAAGAGAAGATTTTTCTGCTCAAGGTTTTCTTCAGGGCAACTTTGACATCCTTATTCCTCAGGCTATAGATTAATGGGTTGAGCATGGGCACCACAGCAGTATAGAAAATTGAAGACACTTTCCCCTGGTCAAGCGGTAAAATAGAAGGTGGTTTGAGGTGCATAAAAGCCCCTGACTCAAAGAAAAGAGATACCACAATTATATGGGAACTGCAGGTACTGAAGGCTTTGGACCTGCCCTCACTGGAGCTAATGTGGAGAATGCTAGAAAGAATAAAACCATAAGAGATGAAAATGGCTATAATGGGCTCCCCAATGCCAATGGTCACAACAATGAAGACCACCAGCAAGTCTATGTAAGAGCCGTTGCAGGAGAGCTCAAGGAGGGGAAGGATGTCACACATATAGTGATTGACAAGGTTGTCTGCACAAAAGGTCACAAACATTACGTTTACCATATGGGCCACAGCCCCCAAAACTCCCATCCCATAGACACCTGACAAAAGAAGCAAACACACCTGAGGCGACATGGTGACTGTGGACACCAGTGGGTTACAGACTGTGACATAGCGGTCATAAGCCATGGCTGACAGGATGTAGGATTCAGAAAAGACAAAGAAACAGAAGAAAAAAAACTGAGTCATGCACCCTGCATAGGAGATGATGTTCTTCTTTGAGACAAAGCCCATCAGCATTTTAGGGGTGAGGGTAGTGGAGTAACAGAAATCTACGAAGGACAAGTTGAAGAGGAAAAAGCACATGGGAACGTGCAGGTGAGAGTTGAGCCCGGTCAGGGTTATCAAGCCCAGGTTCCCCACCACGGTGACCACATAGAAACCTAGAAACAGGAAGAAGAGGGGGATCCGGAGTCCAGGTTGACTCGTTGAGCCTGCGAGGATAAACTCTGTCACAGAGAAGTTCTTGTCAGCCATTCTCCTCTGGGAGGTTCCGTGAGAGGAAAAGAAAAGAGTCACAGAGAAAAGAGCTTACCCACCATGGAAGTTAGTGGAAGTTAAGGGGATGCAAGGGAGACGAGAAGAGAACAAACGTTCGCTGAGCAGTAACTATGGAAAAGGCACTATTCTAAATGCTGTGTGGCATTGCGACTCTTCCCACTTTACAGAGGAGGACCCCGAGCCTAGGCCACTTGCACAGAGTCCCAGTGCTACTGAGTCACAGCAGCAGGATGACGCAGGCTGTCTGGCTCCCGCTGCCTGAGCTCTGCTGCAGGACCCAGAGGGTCAGGTGGGCACCGGAGCCTCAGCGCTGTTCTCTACTGCCTCTGTCCTTCTCTTTCATGGAGACGCCAATGGCCCTGGTGGAAAGAGAGTGACAACTTGCAGCTCAGACCTCTCTGCTTCTACTTTTCCACTCCGAGGATCAAAATCTCTAGTTTGTTGATGGGTGTGAGGCGGACAGAGGGGGTGGGGAGGGATGAATCGGTAAAGGGACACGAAAATCAACTACATTGCATATTGATAAAATAAAATAAATAAATAAAATAAAAATATCTATAAAATATGTTTTTTACAATAACTGGAGAAATTGGAATATATATTGATAATAGTGTTGTTTTTAAAAACTTTTAGGTACAGTAATGGTATTTTGGTTATCTAAGAGAATGTCCTTTTTCTTAGAAGACGCATGCTCCAGTATTTAGAAAAGAAGTGTTTGTCTGTCCTTATATTCAAATGCTTCAAATAAGTTTAAAAATTCCAAAAAAAAAAAATCTCTAGTTTATCTTTGTTCTGTCGCTGAGCTGAGGAGCACGATGTCTGATTGTGGCTTTGCCCCGAAGCTCCGGTCCAGGCTCCAGGAATGAGACAGAGTCCTCTCCTAAGACTGTGGATGACAGGAGACGAAAGAGTTTTATTCTGGATTGGAGATCTCAGGGAGCTAGTTACAGAGGCTCCCACAGGACCATGGCCCAGAGACCACCTTCCCTAAGGGAGAGGAAATGTTTGTTTACACCCTTGATAATGCTTCACATGGCTTCTAATGACCTATTCTTTCATTCACGATACATGTTTTCAGATACAAGTAATAGCAGAGCACTATGGGAAAACATAAATCTTGCTGTCTTGTGCTGAGCACTTACTGTGTACCAAACACTGACCCAGCACCCTCATAGGGTCACCAAGGATGCAATGACAGTGTAGAAATGATTTATCTCATTTATTACTCACAACAGCCTCATAAATCAGATCTGCTTATCTCCACTTTAAAAGTGAGGAACACACACAGCTAGTGGATTTCAGAATCCTGAGTCAAAGCCTGGTCTTCCAGCTTTAATAAGTATGGTGTTGATCACTTCCTACACCACCTCCTCGTGAGTGATAAGGAGTTCTCTGAAGCAGGATTTTTAATTACAAAGATCTTATGAGATTCTTGATAGAAAAAAAAACAAGTAATTTTGAAGGATGGTAGAAAGTGTTAGAGCCAGGGAAGGTCAAATTAGGGAATATTGGATTTCAAAGGAGGAGATTCATTATTGCATTCACATCCAATATATACCAAGAATTACTGAACTTTTTCAAGTTCAAAAATAAAAGAAACCTTCTCTGCTTTTGCCCTGGTACCTGTTCATGAAGTTTAAACTTAACAATTAAAAACAAATGTTTGTCAGATAACTGATATCAACTTTTATCACGATCCAAAGGCCGGGGAACAGACCCTACAGCCAATATGTCAGATAATGGGGAGTTGAAGAAAGATGTGAACACGAACAACATTCCCTCAGCAAATACAAACTGAGCATCCACTACGTCCCAGAAACTCTTCTAGGTCCAGGTTCTTCAGTAAAAAGAAAAAAAAAAAAAAGAGATTCTTGCCCTCATTGTGCTTTCATTCAAGTGGTACAGAAAACGCATGAAAGAAAGAAGTAAAACATATAACATGAAATGTGCTATGAAGAAAAGGAAAGCAAGGGAGAGGGGTAGAACAGGCAGGTTCTATACAGATTTCGATTTTAAGTAGAGAAACCTGACATTTGAGCAATGACCAGAAAGAGAATTTAACAATGTTTGCTTGATCAGTTGCCCTACTAAAACACTGGGCATTCGTGCCTTAACGTAGCACCCTTCCAAGGCACCACGTTGTTGTCCTGCACCTTAAATGCAATACCTTAAACCAAATTACTGGCTCTGAGGAGAACATCCTGAACATAGTAACAGGATGCAGGGGCAAGAGACGCTGCTGAAGATTGAGACAATCACAAGTCACACCATGCAGATTACTGAGTGAGACTGATATAAAGACTAATAAAGCTTTGTGTAGCAACTTGCATTCTCCACCCCCTAACAGGGGCTTTTTATGTGTTAAGGATGACAACTTTCATAGCCAAGACATAAATCTCTATTTGGGGAAATTAAAACCTCAGTTAGAATATGGGTTATATATGGTCTTGGTCAGAGTTATGGGCTAGAGTCCTCTTGGAGAAGTTATGAAATCATAACATAAAGGCAGAAGCCTGTCTTCTTCTAGGCAAGTCTGACCAAAAGCACTGCACCCGGGCCTGTGTGTGGTGACAAGGACGGCCACATACATCAGTGAGGACTTGCTCACCCTCGGTTCAGTCTAGCGATGACCGTTCCACATCTCTCAGTTTACACCTAAAACGGTGCGCATTCCAGAATGACTCTAATGAATCCCAATCCCTGTCTCAATCACTTAAGAAATGAAGAAAAACAATCCACCACTGCACACACTTAAGGAATGGAGAAAAACAATCTTCCATTAAAAAATTAAAATAAGCCCCACAAGGCAAGCTCTCCTTGAGACCCAATGGCAAAGAAGACCTTAGGGGTTCATTAAATATTCACTTCCCTCTAGAAACTGTAGAGAGTTCTTGTATGCATGAAGCAACACCAGGGAAAGTTCTTCTGAGGTTTTTGTCACTTCAGAAATGGTTTCCATAGAAACCTCATTTCAAATGCATCAGGGTTTTATTTCAAATGAACCCGGCTGTCTCTAAATCATTTTCAATGTTGACTCGCTCCAATATGAGAATAAAGAAGCATAGAAATAAATATTTCTCGTTAAGTTACTTCGTTGCAGCACTGTCCCTTTTCCCAAAACTTGAATCTCTATGTAATGGCTTCCATGTTTATTTATTCTTAACATTTAAATAAACTTGAGACATGAATTACAACATGGTTGTGTGAAAAATGCATGTACAATACAGCGTCTTTGTACATATGGCACATGCATTAATGCCCAAATGACTGGTAGACCATCACACACCCTTCACTCTACACAAGAGAGATCAAAGAACAAGTCACAATTCCAACAGAAAGAGTCAGAGAGCCTGTCCAGAGAGGAAATATGGCAGCTGAAATGTCTTCATTTGAAATGACTTTACTTAGACTCTAAGGAATTGGCATAAAATTAAATTCATCTATCAGAAGTCATATGATCTGCATTATACTAAAAGCTAAGTTGGTTTTCAAATGTGTATTTGGCATATTAAAATACTAAGTAAAGGGATTCAAAAGGAACGGTTCATGTCCTAAAGGGGTTGTTTTTTTATCCTCTTTATTTACTCACTTCATGTTTCAAAATTTCCAATGTTCACTTCTCAACCATCTGAGCCTCTTCCTTCTTAAATGTTTGGTGATCTCATCTCATGATTTATAAAACATTCTCTATAAGGTTAGTTCCTAAGTTTGTCCTTATCTTTCTGTTAAGTTCCTGTCCTGTATGTATGACCTCTCAACTAAAATGTTCCAGTGTGCTGTCCTGCTGTCACTCTGGACCCAACAAGAACAAAGAATAACATATCTTTTTTGTTCCAAAAGCAGACATCTGCCCAATCTTCCCATGTTTTTATTGGAAAGAAAGTAGAGGGTAGTATCAATGTGGTATTAGTAGACCTGGTCTGTTTAGGATGTTCTCATTTTACATCTATTATCTCAGAAAAATTATTAGTAGCATTCCCTTTCACTATAAAATATATCCCAGTTAAATGATAAATTGTGTGATCTTTATATGTGTTCAGGACACAAACTTTGGAATCAAACCAACCTCTACAATTCCTGGCTCTGCCACTTACTAACTCTGTGGTCTTAGGAACTTTGTTTCTCCTCTCCTGAGCTTCAAATTACTTAAGATGGGGATAATAATCATAAATGGTGCAGAACATACTATATACAACATCAAAAGCATAAAAAGTATTATGTCATTATTCAGATCTATGCCCTTGAATGAAAGGGATATTTTGGAACATGGTGATATATAGATTCAGCTAAAACAGAGAGAGACTGAAGGCAGATAGATCAGTTAAGAAGGTTTCACAAGCAGTAGAAAGAGTGTCAAGAGATAAGATCATGGAAGAACTGGATTTACTGTCTCTATGGTTTGGGGGAGGACAGAGAGGAAAGAAGCACAAATCAGATTTGACTTAAATCTGGAGCCCAGGGAACAGTGAGCAGCATGGCAGAAATGAATAAATAAGGAGTGGGGAGGTTAAGAAGATGCATTTTGGTCTAATGATGAAATGCTGGGGAAAAAAAAACCTTAAAAAATTAAGTAGAAAATTGGCAATGGAGGATCAGAGCTTGGGAGACAAAGGGTCAAAATACAAATTGGGGAACCAGCTAAACACAGGTGATCACGGAGGAATGATGAATTATTCCAAACAGAAATATTTAAAACTAAATATTTAGAACTAATTATTTCCAAAAATACCCACAATTAGAAAATGGGGGAAGGAAAATGACCAACAGAAATGTCAGAAAAGCCAAGTGTAAACAGGTGGGAGCATAATCTGGAGACAAACAGACCTGGAATCAAACTAAAACTCTGTTAAATCATTAGCTCTGTGAATGTGGGCAAGTTATTCAACATCACATAGTGTCCCTATCTGAAAGCCAGGGATAGTAATAGCACACCTGCAGATGTATGTAAGGCATAAAATTTGACTTTAGTTAAGTAT